AAGTCAAGCAGCTATTTATCAGTGCCAGACACTGCTCTTGGTTCTGGTAAGAGTAAAATCCAGTCTGAATATGAAGAAGCCAGTGGAGAACAGGAAAGAATAAGCCCACTGACAGTAAAAAGCAGAGCTCCGGTGTGTGGCGAGGGAGGCCTGAAAAGCACAGGGGGCCACTAAACAAAGATAGGTCCTGTCTGAAGAGAGTCAGGGGCTCCATGGAGGAGGTGATGTGCGAGCCAGGCCAGGAACCAAGGATAGCACTTGAAGGAAGGACACTGGGAAGTGTGTTCATGAGGGAAGCAAGGATAGGTGCAGAGCATGGGGCTGGGAAAGCACCAGGTGTGTCTTGGAGCAAGCAACTGCTTCTCAAAATAGAACATTACAGGTGACGTTCAAGAGAGCAGTCTCCTCCAGTGGAGGCAGAAGACTCTTCCTGAGAGTGGAGAGAGGAGGAGGAGGAGGAGGAGGAAGCTAGCAGAGGCTGGAGGTTAGATTCTTCCTTAAAAGGCCCGAAACCCATTGTGCAGTGGCCCCATGTGCATGCATCTGGATTTGAAGAGCTGAGTGAGCTGACCCGCGATTGCAGGGCAGACATCCTTGCACTGGAGGGTAGGGAGGGAAGCCCCCAGGGAGGGACTTCTCTGTCACTGCTAAGCAACTGGTAGCTAAGCAACCCAAGAGGACATCTTTGATGACATATGTGCATGTGTGCCACAGGGTGGATGGACCTAGAACACTGGCCTGTGGTGTCTGATCTTGCTAGAGAAGTTAAAGTCACTTCCCTGTTTTATTGGGCAAAATAGTCACGTTCTGACCTCTCAGATTCATTTTCCTGATTTGGTGTGTGCTGCTCTTCTCGACCCAGAATACCCAAGATCCACTCAGAATCAGAAGCAATCATACCCATACAAGTATTTTGAAAATTTTTAGATTTGGTGTTAGTATGAGGTATAGTTTTGATTCATAAGTTATAGGATCTCTTGTATAACCTCTTTGTTCCATTGGTCTACAATATATGATCTGAACCTGTAGCCAACATATTAAATGTATAGACCCACGGAATAGAACACTGAAGGGACTGTAGCACCATCTCACCTCACCTGCTGAAAGACAGCAGCACATCCTAAGCAAGATGCTGGAAAGTGACTCAGTGGCTCCCAACCTATCCCTGCTGCCTGCTGGTTATAGTACTTAGAGCAAGGCCGCATTAAATCTCTCTGTACTTCAACTTCCTTTGCTTAAAGTGGAGGTTAAAATGCTCTTGATCGAGTTGTGAGGATGAGTGAATTAATATTCACAGAGTCCTGAGCACAGCCCCTGCACATAGTAGTTAGTACTGGGGTGTGTACTGCCATGGCTGGTTCAACTGACCTGCTTTTCAGATGAGAAAACCGAGGTCCAAATCATCAAGCTGCATTGCCCAAGGCATTCATTTGCTTGGTAGTAGGGCCAGGAATGTTATGTTTACTGCCACTCGGGGAAGTGTCTTTCTACTTCATTTCATTTTCCTCAGCTGATTTAGTTTGTTTTTATTGAAAATTTTAGGATGGAGAAGAATATGCCAAATTTTTCAGGTTGTTCAAGGTGGAAAAATCATGTATCTTGGGAAGAAGGACGAGCGTCCCAGAAAGATCTGTGTAAAACGTGTCCTTTCATGCAGATTAACACTTGTGAAGATTCCCAGAGAGCCCTTCACACCGAATTCACTCTCTGCTCAGTGCTTGTTTTTTATCACCTGTCAGAAGCACTCACTTCACCTGCTGGTCTGGATCTCTGGCATATTGCATGAAAACTATACAAGATCCTCTAGGGCCCACAGGAGGAAATATCTTGAGAGCTGAGTCTATATTTCATCATACTTATCTTACAGGCACCTCACACAATCACTAATCGGGATGCCGTGAATGTCAACCAAGCTGATACGGGACAAGAGTGTTCAGTTTATCGTGCTGAAAAATTCTACTCAGACAGCCTCATTGTTGCCGAGGGGAAACATTCATTTCATATTATTTCTGCCCTGTCCTGGGACTCAGAACAGGACATCGTCATGGGCTCATTCCCGAGTCCCCTGGAGAGCTTCTTAACGTCTTAGAACCCTATTTGATCTATCCATGAAAGGAGAAAAATCAGATGTTTAGCATCCTTCAGGTAAATGAGCACCTACAGATAAATGCTTAACCAGCTGGAAAGTGGGGCGTCAGAAACGTAGAACACCAAAATTTGCTGGAAAGTGGGGCATCAGAAACATAGAACACCAGGGAAACAACATCCACCTGGCTACATCTGGGAGCCTGGAGGGGACAAGGAAGTCAGGGTCACCAGGATGTGAGGATGCGCACAACTGCAGAGCAAGAGGGGCTCCAGTGGGGATTTGTCTTCTTCTCCTCAGAGCCCAAGAGAGGCAGGTGGTCCAGGAATCCGGGACTTGAAAGGTGCCACATGCCTATTTGCTTTCCTGTGCCAAGACATAGCAGGAGAGCATTCGAGCATAGAGGGAGCCAGCTCCAAGCACACACCAAGGAAAGGCCCCCTCCATGCTTGTGGGTCACCACAGCGGGGCCCACGGCTTTCTACGGTAATGTTCTGTTTTTTAACACACGTGCACACGCTCGCGCACACATGTGTACATATGTACATGGACAAGGTGGACTTTTATTTTCCTGATTTATGTTTCTACTTTTTCATGATAAAAATGTCTTTTCAAAAATGAAATGGTGACATTTTTTATTTAAAAAAAACCACTATCCCCCCAAAACTCTCTTAAACAGGGAAAAAAGTTGGTGGTATATTTTAAGCCTCATGATAAAAAAATGTATTTGTCTGTGAAATCTCCAAACCTGTGATCCACTGTGGAAGTGGCTCATCTGGGCTTCAGCGAGCACACGCAAGTGGAGCTGTGCTTTTGCTTAGTTACAGATTTAAAGAAATGAGAAATTCTTCGAGGAGCTGTCCTGAGTCTGGAGTTAAAAGTCAATTGTACAACTTCTGTTCTGGTGCCAGGACAGGGGAGATGGTGGGCAAGAAGCGTATCTCGGACACGTGTGCTGCTCAGTATTCTGTACCAATACCAAGAACACGAAGCAGTAGCACAGCTGCATAAGCAGCAACAGCAACAACAAACCTTGAATCCGTTGAAGCACATTTGAAATACCTAAGAACACAATTAGCCAGCTGAGAAAAGACTTCTTCTGCCCTAGTGTAAACTCCAGGTACTTTCCTTGCCAGGTACAAAATGCAGAATTGTATTCATCCTTCTGCCCCTGCCTCAGCCTGACTGTGTGCCTGTGAACAACTGGAGAGCTTCACTTTAATTTTCCCTGGATATATTCTTGAGAAATCTGATTCATGACAACATTGCCATGGGATAAGTTCCGTAATTTGTAGCTAATACACATTGCTTGCCTGAGAGAAATTTTAAAATGATGCTTGTCTCTCTTTGTTCTGCACATGGGTCACAGAGAAAAGGACACTTAGCCTTACTTTGGCAACATCTCTCAAATGTGCTTTAGAGAATGCTAGCTGGAAAAAAAGTAGAAGTTTCCCAGTCACAGCTGGATGAAGGGCAATATGTCAAATAACAGTGTTTGTAATAGTCACTGGTGGAGTGTCTTCTGAAACAGTGTTAAGAATGTTATATGTCTTTATTTTTATGCCTCATAATCATCCTGCAGGGTGGATAAATTATCTCTGTTTAAATATGAAGTAACTGAGGCTTAAAGAGATATTATATTGCCTAAAGTTACCTAACATGAAGTTGCTGAGCTAGAATTTTAAGGCACGTGCTAACTGTTCATAATGTGGGTTTTATGTAAATAAAAGCTATGGTTTAGGTATTGCTATGCCTCAAACACTGTGCTAGCAGCTCTTTATGTGGATTATGTCACCCGGTCTTATAATAATCTTATGGGATATGTATGCATGCATTATTAGTGTTCTGTTATTGTTATTTGCACTCTGCAGAAAGGGAAGCTGAGGATAAACAAGGCCAGATTATTTATCTGGAGTCATAGCTAGTGAAAGATACAGTTAGGTTCAGGACCAGGTTTATCTGAGGGGTCCCAGGGCCCACGCACGTTACCACTGTATTAAGCTGTCTCCCAAAATTACCAGAAAGAGTTTTATGTCACTTTATGTCTTGGCAATCTCCCAGGTCATTTAAGATCAGAGAAGGGGAAGATCGCCTAGCAACTTCCAAAGAAGTGAGGTAGAATTTGTGGAAATGAGTTCTCCGGGTACACAAGATTGATGATAGGCAAGAACGTTATTTATTTTTGCCTCCCTAGCAAAAAATCTAGCAGGGTACTGCAGTTAAGTAAAAGGAGGAAAGATGCTATTCTTAAGTACCCATAGGATTCATATACATTAGAGGTCTCTGTCAAAGTGAACTGAAATGCTAGAAGAGAGAGACTGGTGTCTACAAGTCACAAGCATTTCCCAGCAGGTGAGCGACCCGTTGATTGTTGAAGGTATGATGAGTCAAATCCAGAGACAGGCAATTCTACAGATGGGAAACCTCATTAGCATCTGATGCCTTGTTTCAAACGGACTTAGGGGCCTGCTGAGTCAGCATCTCTGTGCTGAGGCTGGGAAATCTGGGCTCCCCATGGATGCTAAATTTGAGCAGCACTGTGGCCCGGTCTTCTTCCTATGTCCCATTTGGTGTTGGTCCTAGACATGCTCCCTGGTCCAGCATGCCATCTTACCTTACTTTCTTTTTCCTTTTTTTTGTTTTTATTAAGTTTATTGGTACATTTTAGATATACATGATGATCATACTCATCATAGGGAAAAAAAGGAAACTCTGCACTGTTGGTGGGGTACAGATTGGTGCAACCACTGTGGAGATCAGTCTGGAGATTCCTCAGTGAACTAGGTCCCCTTTGACCCAGCTATTGCCCTTTTACTTTCTGTTACTCTCAATGGCTGTTACGGAAGTTGCTGCTATAGGTTCCTTAGGAGACAGCCTTACATTCCACATGAATAGATGCCAGTCAGAAGGGGTGATGAGTCACATGTATTCTGGATACATGAAGAAGAATCGGGGTGACAGTTCACATTTATTTCTGGCACATGAAGAATGGATTGTGACTGTGGAAACGTCTCTATGTTGAACTTTCTTGTGATACTTCTTTCTACAAAATAGGAGGGAGGGAAGCTTACTACAGACACAGAACCCAGGGGCTCTGAGTGTGAAGAGAACATAAGAGAGCTTTAAGAGATAGTAAGAAGCAGCTAAGGGCACGTGCTTGAATCTCTCGCCTAGAAGGTTTGTGTCTGTTCTGATATGAATGAACGTGTTAGATACATTGTGTGGCCAGAAGATTTGACCTAACGTATTAAAGGTACTTTTAATTTGTGCTTGGCTTAGAGAGCATTGAAAGAGTGATTTGGTAGAACATAGGAAGGTGATATTTTTAATATCTTCTTCACCAAAATGCCCAAGAAGCTATCATTACAGATGTGTTACTTATGCCTAAATATTTCAGCCAGGCATCTTTTCTAATGACACTGGGGTAGATAAGGCCTATTGGCATTAAAATTCCAAGGCAAGGTGAGATTGTGTACAGCTGGGTACGTGGGGTGATAGTTGGAGACTGGGATGGGGACAAAGTATGCAGAAAGGAAGAGATAACTTTTTAAGAAAAGTTCACCTTATTGAAACTATCACTCTCGCTGACACTCCTTGAAGTCCTAGGTAACCAGCCTAGAGCCAGTTTTAAGAGCTATCAAGCCTACTTTCATCAAATTCCCTTGGTCATGGGGTTGTGAACATAGAACACAATTGGCTGCTGTGCCTTTGATCTGCAACTGGGGAATGGGCAATTTTAAAAAATTCTACTATTTTATTTTTTACCAGTGAGGCATTGCTGCCAAGCAGGTGTGGGCGCAGCTAGATCTTCCCCTCCCTTCCCTCACAGACATACGCTTTCTTAGATCTCTTAAGATTCTTTTCTAAATATTGCCTCTATCTCTCACCATCCATATCCTAACTGTACTCAACAAGTCTTGAAGAATTTAAGAATCTCTCTTAAAATAAAATATCCCTGAAGTGTGATCATAATTTATTTTCTGTTATCTCCTTAATTATGAATAGATAATGGCAGATATTAGTGGAGAGCCATTGAAGGGTTAATTTTTGGAGCTTGTGATATGATGATGTCAAAAGATCTTGTTTTCAAGCTTGATAGCTATGCAGACTTTGTCAGGCGATAGAAAATAAAGTGAGAAATAGAACTTACAAGGGTAACTACTCAAATTCTAGCATAAAATAGTGTTGTAAGAGGCCCCTGAATTTTTAAATCTAAAGCACTGAGTTTTTAAAAAGTTGCTATTTAATGTTGAGATGCAATTCTACAGCATCAAAATACAATTATGTACAGAGTGTTATATGTAATAGTAGATAATATGTAACATGTTCTTTCCATGTATTTATTTAATTTATTTAGAAGTATCAGAGGCAAATATGGAAGAATTCCTCTCAGAATTAAGTTGTAAACCAGCCTTTTGAGGAAACAGGAATCGGCTAGAGAATTGCCATTTAGTGGGCCTGCGGGGGGGAGCCACACACAGGAGGCTACAGACCACTGGTCTGTCTGGGGCAGAGTGGCCAAAGTCGGAATGCCGAGACATGAAGTCCCACGGCAGGAGCAACTGATGAAACGCTGCAGAGGCAGCCTCGGAGGAGGGGCGGGGGAGCAGGGGGAGGTCTGGAGGGTTTGCAGCGAGCCCCTTAGCAGAGGGATGGCTAAATGTGTGAGGACGGTGCTGAAAAGACAGCTACGTCTGGGCTTCCAGGGACACAGAGGCCTAGAGGGGCATCAAGTATCCGGCTACTCTTAGACCACACACAGGTGAACTTGAGAAACAATGTCTCTACCTCCCTCAGTGGGAGTAGTGGATCTACTTTCAGTCCCCCAAATGCTCCTCTGTCTGAGGCAACTCCTTGGGCAAAGATAAATAGACTCTGAGAGATGATTCTTTCTGGCCAAGGCTTGGCCAGGCGGCTCCTTTCAGATGGCTCCAGCAAGCTCCCCCCGCCCCCCGCCCTCCCCAGCAGGCACAGCCCCTTCTGGGTGTCTCTCTTAATGCGAATCATGTCTAGGGAGCTGAAAGTTTTTTTGCCTGGTAGCAGAAAAATGGCACTTGGAATTCATGTGGTGGCTGGCTCCATTTTGGGGGCTGGCAGCAATCATTTTTTTAAAATTTCAGATTGAAGTAGAGAACTGAAATCTGAAAGTGATTCTTCAAATGAGTGGGGCAAAGTTATTTTAAGAATTGAATTTCTGAAGGATAACTGCCTCCCCACTTATTTTAGAATGACTTTCCTTAAGAATAGAGAAACAAATAGAGGAACTATTTCAATCTGACTTACTTTCAGTCCATTGATTTAGGGGGACAAGGCCACGATTAATCGTTAAAAGGGGAAGAGTGGGGCTGATGACGGAGTCAGGAAACCTTCCATTTTCCTCAGTCTTGGAGAACACGCCCTGAGGAAAATGACTGAAGCCTGGGAAATTATGAATATCCGATTAATTGAATAAGAAAAACCAGTGCACAGCTGCACTTTTCTGCCATGGATTTTTTTTTCCATTTAAGACATTGGAAACACTTTTATGCATCGAGTTTTCCAGATTGATTCCAAAGGAATATTATGCTAATGTATATTAGTTTTACAGAAAGGGGTAGTTTGTCTTTCTGCTTTGAATTTTGGGCACGGGAGTTGCATCATGATTGTTACACTCGTTCGGGCTGATGAAAGCAAAGAAGACTGAACATTAAGGAGCTGAAGGTCGTCCATACAGTTGTTCCAATAGCAGTCTGTGCACCTTTAACCCTGAGGAGGAAAAGTAATTACCCTTCGGCTTCTGCTGACCTCACCTGACCTTTGTTGAAGGGCTAGAGAAAATAAAAGCTGACCATAGGCCTGCCCTGGCTGCCCTGGGCTTAACCTGCTGTGTGAATGAAGAACAACCCAACAATAGGATGAGAGGATGTTGCCATGGAAATAGCCCTAGACCAAGGAGCAAAAATCAGAAATTTATCACAATTAATTGTTTTATTAGTAACCTCCCGTCTTTTGGATTATTCCTGGGGGTGGGGGAAGGGAGGATGTGTTCTCACTTAGATCTTATGAGAAAAATTCTGCTTGAATAAATGAGGCAGCTCATACAGTAAAACCCTTTTAGATTGGGGCTGGAATTGGACAGCTTTGTGAGAGATGAAAGGATCTACAGCTCCTCATCATCTATAAAGATGCAAATGCAGAGGCAGGGTACAGGCCAACATCCTTATTGTCCCAGTGACCCAGCTGAGGGGTGGACTGAGCATCCACCTTTTTTAATATTTTCAGTAGGCTCTTGCCAATGCTTTTATGCCTTGGCAAGGTCTGGAAAGCACAAGTGATATTTTAAGAGCATGTCAATGAACCGAAATACATTGTCACCTTTTGTTGTTCCTATTTAGCCTTTCTGTTAAATAGAGTCCAAGTTCTATGTGGTTTTAAAAGTGAACACGTTCAGTTTAGGAAATGGAAATTTGCCATCTAATTATGTTCAGATTAAATTAGAGTAATTCAAGATGCTCTGGCTCCTGTTGCCTAATTAGAGAAGAAAGAAGTGCAGAGAGCAAGAAACAGGTTTTTTTAAATGGACCACCTACAACTTACCTCATAGGTGCAACCAATATGCCTCTTATTTAGGAGTAATAATATTCTATTTATAATGTTAGAGTGATTTCACTTTTATTCAGAATACAAGGGAAAATTAGACAAAATACATTTTTATCAGTTTTTTCTTTAATTTTTATTACATGGATAATATGTAAATAAGAGCTAGATACCAAGTTATCTTTTTTGATGGATGCTAGACTAGGGATATGAAAGCCTTATTTTCTGCATTTCCTAAATAGTGAGTTACTTATGTTAATCAGTTTTTAAGATAATTTTAGGTATTAAAACAAAATAGCCAGTTAAACTTGAATATTGATTTTTTTCTTTAATGGGTATTTCATCAGTGAAATTTTAACCACTAATAAAGAAGAATAAACCATAGCAGCTGTTCACTGAATTCTCTTTCTCACAATGAGAGGATTTTTTTATTACAGTGTAAGATGCCAATATGAGTTTCATTTATGAATCCTAACTTGTTTGTAGGATGTTTGTAGGAAATTAATCTCATGTTGAGGTGAAGGATTATTGGCTTTCACTGGAAAGCAAAGAGTTATACCTAATAAAAATTAACTTTTTAAGTAAAGGACATATGTTGGGACTCTGCTAAGAATGAAATCTAGTTCCTGGGCTCTTTATTTACGCATCTCTTGCTTGCAGTTAGTTTACCACTCATTTTGCGTGTTTCTCTTATTGTTAGGTCTAGGATTTTGTTTGCTAACACCCAGGACACCTGTGGTTGTAAGGCCCATCACAAATGATGTAATAGACTTGGCTAGACTCATTAAACACTCTCCGTGGCCTTTGGCAGGCTTTTAATCTTTTTTCTGCTATAGATAACAGTTTTTCTTAAGTGGCAGCAACACATCTCTTAAAATAAGCCTGTGATAAAGTCCTAGTTGTGCTTACCTGAAAGTTCAGCAGCACCTTGTTGGTGATCGTGTTTTGTCATTTCTACGGCCTTGAGTTTTCTGGCAAGCACAGGCCTGTTTGTAGGGTGCTGAGAACGTCCTTTCTGGCTGAGGCACCTGCAGCGTCAGAGCTTCACAGTTTCCACTCTATTTGGACCATGTCCAGCTTTTCTGTCTTTGTTAACCTCTACCATGACAGCTTGGTGGAGGCAGCAGAACCAGAAGTAAGGATGGTGATGGGCTCTGTTGTTTTACCTGTCTGGGGCAGTAGAAGAATGGAAGGGAGAATGATGATCAAGACCAAGTTGTAAAAAATAATGACAATCTTATCTTACACAGAAGAGGAAGCAGGTGTCTACTTGGTCTCCCTCGCCCTTCAGAATGAGTCCACATAATTTCTGCTGGTTTGGGTACTCGGTCCTTTATTACTATTACTGAAAGATATTTCATAATGTACAGTTAATTTACTTGTGGACCACATTTTTATTGTTCTCAATTTTGTTTAGAGAAAAGAAATTGTATGTATTTATTCAGTTAACATAGAAATCGTCCCCAAATAATTTTATAAGGAATGAGGTAGATGAAATCTCTCCATGATTATGTATTTGAATGAAGACATGAAAGTATTTGCTGATTTGTAGCTAGTAAAGCTTCAACTTAACTGCTCTTCAGTAACATCTAAAACATGGTACTAAAGCGTGGAGTCTTTTAAAAGATGAGGACTACTGAGAATAGTTTTTTATATTTTTCTATCTATACTTTATTTCTCATCCTTTATGCCTTGTATAAAAACTTTACTAAATAAATGCACAAACTCTACAACATAAATGAGAAACTAAATATATGTTAGAAACACAAAGATTATTATGGGATAAATTAAAGAAAAATTGGATAATAAATATATATGTATATGGACAAATGCTAAAAATTGCCGTCTAGTATATGTGAATGTATGTATTTAAAAAGCAACATATAATTTTGTTGTGAGAGTTAAGATAATATTTATAGGGTTAAAATACATATTTAAAAACAACACGGCATTTTGTTGGCATAAGATAATTTGCGTAAGGTAAGTATACATATTTTTAAAATCGCATGGCATTTTATCCACAGAGTTTGTGATGATATTGAGTTGTCTACATACTTTTAATTGAAGGGGGGTGGGGAAGCTATTGTAATAGTTTTTGAATATAACACCATCACCTCCAAATTAAGCAAGCATTAACGGCATGACATTATTCTCACATGCTTGGTATTTAAAATATCTTCCCCTTTATTATGTGTGGTATAACGGCTCATGTACAGGATATGGAACATTTTAAGGGAACACCTTAGTGTTACATCAACACTGTGTCTGAGTAAAAATTTAAAAACATAAAATTATATGGCATTAGTGTTCCTCATAAAAGAACATAATTCACTCTTCCTTAAAAGACTGATGGAAATAGAATGCTATCAAGCTTCTTACCTATATTTTTGAGCACAGTTTAGATAGTAACCCACAAAAATAAATTTAGACCTATTTAAATGCATTTCAAAAACAGAGATTTCCAAAGAAATGGTCGAATTTGCTTTTCACAAAGTCTAACAATGTTCATCCTGCATTTGAATTAGAATAGGAATTTTATAAACTATTTTGTGTTTTAAAAATACATTTACTATGCCATCCTAAAGCAAATGATTAACCCAGTTTAAAGTCACAACTACCAGAACTCAGTGTACAATAGGACCATACCGACAGCTGCTGAGCAGCTTCTTCAAACCCAGCACCCCTTCCCACCACAAGCACATCCCCACAATTCACATCTAAGCTCTGAACAAGAGTATAAGCTGTCCTGAAAGTTACAGATCAAATACCTTCCAATGTTGTCGCACCCCGGATTTCCAGTTTGCAAACTATATTTCCAGCAGAAACTCTTGAGGTATAGAGTAGTCTTCGTCTGTGAGCTGTGAGCTCTTCCCGTTGGTCTTCTCAGGAAGAGGTGCTGGGATGATTTTATTTTTTTAAATCTTGTTGATAATTTGACTCTCTGTCAACTGGTGCTTGTCAACCCATCACTACCCTTTCACAGGGTGGAGATGGCTGGAGGCTGGAGGGCTGCAGACCACGCATCTCTCTCCTCAGTGTACCTTTATACGAACATGGCATCGTGACTCTGAGGAGAGGAGAGGAAAGCTGAGCCATCAGATATTCCACAAATTGCAGGCTGTGCCTATGTCCTGCAGAGCCAGAGAGGGGGATTATTGCTGCAGAAAAAAAATCTGGCCACACTGTAGAAATAATCACTGCAGGTGAGCTTCCCCTGACCTCCCCATTCTCTCCTTCTCTCTCTGTCTCTTCTCCCTTTTTCTCGCTCTGTAGAAGGCCCCAGCTGATTCAGGCTGCATCCATCCATACATAAATCATTCCCCTTATTCTATTGGTTACATGGTACATGGCAAGTATTGATTTTTTCCGTTGCCTCATTGCTGGAGAACACTTGGTTTTTGTGAGACAGAAAAAGAAAAGAAAAAGCAAACCAAACAAAAAAATCCTCACCAGAATTTTGTCTAGGTAAAAAAATAAGCAGACAAATTTGTACTACGCTAATGCTAAGTATGTTCTAAAAAGGGCTTATTTTGGGCAATCTTCACTATTTATATATTTTCAATGTATCTTGTCTCAATATAGAAAATACTTATTTCAGTTTGAAGTGCTCTGGGGTCAGGAAGTAGGAAGCATGTGCAAAGAGGGAGATGCTCTCTGATTGTGCAGGGGAAGGAGATGTCTAATTGATCACTACTAACTCCAATAAAGAGAAAGTTCTGCTAAAATGCAACTTGCTCAAAAAACAGGAGTATGCTGATGAAAATCATGCCTTTATGGACAAATGACTGGACAGGATAGTAAAAAGACACGAACAGGATGGGAAATATTTACGTAAGTTTATTTTGTACGGTGACAAAATGTGCAATTGTGCCTTATGTAAAGTATAAACATAGAACACTGTCAAAATACTGTGTCTCATAATACTTAGAGACAGGAACTAGCAAAAAAAGTGAATAAGTTTTAGGTTAGGATTCTGACATTGAGGGTCCTCTTCAGAGCATAAATTATAGCATGCAGGAGTCCTAATATGTTATTTTCCAAAAAAAAAGTAATTTGTTTAAGAGTGATATTGGCTCTTGGACCTTATCCAAAGGGGTTTTATTCCTAAAATATCAGAATGATTTCTTTATGAAATAATATATCCAAAAGCTGCTTGCCAACATACAAGGACATCATTATATGGAGATTCTAGCGTGAATGTAAGGTGTGAACAGATTGTGAAGGTCATTTTTAATTTTATGAGCTTATGTTACCACTTATTATTCATTCAACAAGGAGGAAGTTGAGGAGCAAAACCGATTTTGCATGCTATATAGGTTATGGCATATAGGTGTTTTCTCCGGGGTTCTACTTAGAACCATCAACTAATTGGCCAAGCATGCATAAATTGTAAGTGAGAAGTACAGCGGGTTTTTTGACCTAAAGTAGATTAAAGAAAGTTTAAAAGGAAAACTATAAAGTATGGCTTCAGGAATTCCTTTTCAGACAGAATACAGAAAAAAAATGAGAGAGAAAAGAGTTATTGTAATCCTGCACAGCCAATGTATCTAACAGTGTACCTTGGTTTGGTATAATTGTTTTATGTGTTTTATATATATTTTTGGCCTATTAGTCTGGCTGTTAATCTTTTTATGATAATTAAATTCATCAAGGCTTATTAAATAAATAAATAAATAAATAAATAAGATGCTGGTGAAAAGTAAATAAATAAAAAGAAAAGAAAAACAATTTAAATAGGGGAGAAGGGAAGGAGGGTTGAGATGTGGTCTGTGCACGTGCCAGTTCTCCATGATTAATGGAATCGTTATGCACGGCAAACATCAACTAATAAAAATTTTTTTGAGCTAATAAAAATTTTAAAAAAACCTCTTTTTCTCCAAAGCATTTACTCTGTACATAACCGAGTCCGGTTTAAATTATACTGCCACAAACGTCAGAAATCAGGCCAGGGCTGCCCTTCATTTGCGTTAAAAGAGCTGTGGCATGGATTCTTTTTTTTTTTCTTTCTGTCCGCCGGGTTTCCCTGTGGCCCTTGGTCCCTGGTCCGTGTCTCCGCCACGTCCTGCTCCACACCGCAGCTGTGTGCGGCAGGAGCCCAGGCCGCGCGGGGAGGAGGGGGTGCCCAGCCCTTCCCCACGTTGTGCCTTCTCGCGCACAGCCGCTTCCTGCTCTCTCTTTATTGCACGTTCCTCAGAGCACTGCGCATTCCCCAGTCGGTTGTACAGACTCCGAGCATCACCACGTGGAAGTGCTGGTTTATCTAAACTGTTGTTTTTTGGAGCGCCCCATGAATTAACATGTAGAAGAAGGACTTTGGAGGCCTGTGTAGAATTCTGTCCAGGTTGATGTTTTGCTTAGTTTGTTCTAGTTTTGGGCCCCAACCTGCTTGCTTATTTTCTGAATGATCATCCATCCACCTAGTACTGGGGGTAGGAGGATTGCCTCCATCTATCTAGGTGCCAGAAGAGTTCAAGCATTCTCGATTTAGAAAGGGAAACAGACCAGAAAACAACAACTATCCCAAGAAATATTTTGAAGCTGACCTCTCTCTTCGCTTTGTTTCCTAATTCAACAACTTCAGCAAATGTTTCCTGACTGCTTACTCTGTGCCAGTGCTTTGCCGGGGTGAGGGCCAGCTGTGCAGCCCAATGTCCTGTGCTCTACCCGACCTCAGCGCGCCCTCTGAGCAATCGCGTGCGTGTGGGAGATACTGGACTGCCCAGACAGAGGTGTGTGCCCTTCCGGGGTGTGAGTTTCTGCTGTGTTGCTCCTTCACTACTCTCCATAGGCTCAGCTCTCTAGATATGTATAATGCATCAGGTAGTGAATACCAAAAGCCATCTTTAATGTTTTATCTTCATTACCTCAAATAAAATTTTAAGTGGCCAGCACAGAGCCTTGTCCATAGACTATTGCATAGACTATAACAATTATTATGCATGTAGATGGTTATGTGTATTCTTTCATGTAATGCTCAGAACTTTGCTTTTAAAGAATTTTATTTTTATACCCATTTTCAAGATGGGCAAAATTGTAGCTGTGAGGTTTAATCATTTTCCTAAGGATGCCCAGCTAATCAATGGCAAAATCAGTTTCAGACTCCTGTTTCTCCTAATCATCACTTGGATCGGAGGGGCAGCAGCAGCCTCGCAGAACCCTTTTAATTCCAGCAAGGGCAGTGACAAGACGGTGGCTTCTATGTGGGACTGGAAGCATTTTGCATCCTTTGATTTTTGTACCTTATGGTTATACTTTGGTTCACCATTAAACAGAATTCCTAGTAGAGATTGCCAATGAAAGGAACTTCTTTGTGAGCCCTTTGGAACATTAATAGTATAAATTTATGGAAAGAAAATGTCACCATGCAAAATAACCCATAGAATGTACCTCATATTGGGCTCATCCATGTGAGACACACAGTGGCAAACCCCAGCACGCAGGAATCCCAGCAAGATCCAAACACTGGCTCTGAGGAACAGGGGCTTTCCTGCTGCAGATGCCAGGAATACTCAGTTGCACTGACGGATTTGAGAAGAACCACAGTACCACACTTTCATATTTCTCCTCTGTTCAAACACTGCCAGGTGAATCTGCAAAAACTGGTGAATTTACCTCAAATAATCACCCGTGACATCATTTCTGATGTCCTCACAATTTTGAGGTAGAAAGAAGCACAGTTGCGAGGTGTGTTGGTTATCTGATTTCAGCCAATTCCTTGGTGGAGGAAGATGATTCAAACCTGCTCTGAGGCGAATTAAATGACATTTCTCTGCCCAAGTCTCTCTTACCCAGTGTCCTTGAGCTGTCCACCACAGTGATTTACTTTAAAAGCACACATGCAAATATGAAGGACAAATAGGTATTTCAAACAAATAATAAAATTGATAAGCAATATAGGCAAAATATTACTATGAATACATTTACCTTCCTTTCCTACAAATTCCTGTCATTGTGTTTGGCCTTCTCTAGGTCCATCTGACTGCGACACTGGCCAATCCCAAAGCTGAGGTCTGGAAGGTACAATGTGACGGTAGCCACTGGAAAGCACGTCCTACCCAGTACCGCTCCTCAGCTTGCGTCAGCAGAGGATGAGCCCTACTAAACAGGCCATCCAAGTTCTCAGCACTCATTTAAGGCTCTGGGCAGAAAATCAAAAGAGTCATGGGTGGGTATGAAGTCATACCCACCTATACCCTGTGTTCTATAACTGGACCAGTAAGAACCAGAGAATGGTTATTTTATTGCTTAGCAACAAAGATGCCACCTCCTGAGAATGCTATTCTAAGGGTTACCAAGTAACTGGCTGTGACAATTAGCAAACATCTGGCTTACTAATCTACATACCCTTCAGCCCCAGCCAGCTGAACAAGGGACCACGGATGGCTCAACAACAAATGACATACATCTAATATTTTATTTAGGAACTGACAGAAGTCACAGCAGTATGGATCCTGAAACCACTTGGATTTAACTGTTTTAACTTGGGTGTTCTACCTGACAGAGTCTGCTGTGCTAGAAATATTGTGGAAACACAGAGGCACAAAAACAATTACTACCAGAAGGCTATCCTGTGGCGATTCTGGAGAGAGATATTTCTTACAAAGGATCACAGAGTGCACAGGATGAAGAAATGGATGCAAAGTCATTCAGAGAAAGGCAGAACAAAATTTAATGCTTCATAATTTCTTATTGATAGATGCTAAGTTGGCTTGGCTATATAATGTCATACATAATAAATTAGAAATGTACCATATATGATAAAAATACAGAGAATGTTTAAATAAAAAATTTAAACATTTGTTACAGCAAGACACACATTGCCATGAGTAACCCTCAAAACCCTCCCCCTCGCTTTGCATGCGCTTATGCCATTGTCCTTGCTGCTTTCTGAAGCATTTCTGTGAGCCTTCTTTCATGACTGTCTTTTCGTGGCTGACTTTTGCCTTGAATCAATTAAAAATGTTTGTGGCAATTTCTGTGAAACAACAACATTGTGATACGTCCTCATCCACCCTATTCACCGGATGTGGCAACCTGCGATTCCTGGCTCTTCTGCAAAGACAAAATGACCATGAGAAGTAAATGTTCTGAATGGATTCAGGGCATGAAGCAGCCATGAGAACACAGCTAAAGATACAGAACAGGAGATTTCCTTGTCATTTCCATTATATTTAAACTTAAGAATTATTTCCTTAGAGATCAAATAAAGATTTCCTTCTATATTTTTATAGATTTGGAAAAAATGATATAAACTTTCATATTTAAATCTAATCTATATAGAAATTATTTTGTTATGTGAATGGGATGAGGATGTAACTGAAACATATTTTATAAAACACAAATAGCTGATTAATTGCCCTACAATTTATATATATTTTCTTGGATATCTAGTCTGCCTGCTCAATTATTTAAAAACAAACTACTTTTTAGAAGGAAATATTTCTAGCTTATGGACACCAATGATCCCTAGAGAAATTAAGTGGATTTAGAGAAGGATGGTGCTAACCTAGAGGACTTCGGTTACCGAATCATTTGATTCCTCTGAATTTTCCCTTCAGGACTCTGAATGACAAGTTGACATCTGTATTGGAATATATCCATCTTCTTTCTATGACAGCTTGGGTAACTCTGATAATTTTGGTAATTCCTCAAGTCTCAGTATAAGTTTTGTAAAGCAGAATTTCACTTATGAAGCTGTGTTTAATGTTTAAAAGTATAAAATTTCATGTAACCTTAACATATACTTTAAATAGGGAGATTCGAGCATCTGACATGGATGATGAGCTCTTGCTACATTCTTTTTTCTCGCTTCTACAGTAAATTTGTTCACTGACTACAGTCTTATCATCACTGAACTTGGATATAGCATTAGAATCTTCCTTAACACAGTATTCCTATCAAATATTCTTAGCAGTTATTTAGTTCATAAAATATAACTTATTTACTCATTAATTCTAGCAAGCAATGTAGATCCCAAGGTTGAGAGTAAAATATTGGCGCTACATTATAGAAATGACTAGTGTAGATGTGACAGTGTTTTTAAAATGTTTTGGCTGCAGTCCATAATAATTAATACATTTCATATTTTCACCATGTAAAGACGATCATTGGGGAAAGATTAATGATTCATTTCTGGAAAAAATTCTTTATGCTAATTCTGCATTGTCGGAATCAAAATATATGACCCTTAAAGTAATCCTGATTATTCAGAAATAAGACATTCCTTTTCAATATTCTTAGTGATTTGTATAATCAGCCTCAATGATTTTTGTTTCAGTCTTTTTGTGATTTATGTGAACAGAAAAACATCCACATTTTTATTTCCCTGAATGTCAAGTACCGTTCAAAGCTTAGAGCAAACCTCAGCAGGAATTTGCCAACATGTAGACAAAATTTTATACCCATTATCAGTTTTCTGGCCAGACAATATTCATTAAGTTTGTAATAGATGTATAGGTTTGAGGATTATCATCTCCTTTATACCTACTCATTATTTAGTTTAGAAAGCAGTTTGGGCTAGATGGTAACATTTGCAATCTGTGTAACCTTACCAAACAGATAACAGATTTGTATTACTTCAAAATCTATGTTGCCTACCCCAACTTTTTTTTTTTTTTTTGGTATAGCAAGCATGAGTATCTTTTCCTTTAAGCAATTTTTAATCATTTCAGCTATAGTTTTCATTTTATTCTTCTTGAAGTGTTAGACACTGTGTTAAACGAAGTAAGGTGAGGTGATGCAAAAACATAGTAAACCAAAGGAAGCGACTTGGACACTGGTGCAATGTTAAACCCAAAGGGTGTGTTTGGGAGCTGGAAGAAGATGAGAAGCGGAGACAGTGACAGCTTCTCATCTCTGGAAGTGCATCATCCAGCATTTTATTCAATTCCCAAGTTCTTTACCATCGGCTTTGACATCTAAAGTGGGAAGTGGGACTTTTTCTAAAATCTTAATACTCTGTTTCCAGCCTTGTCATTAGGATCCACAATTTTCTTAGATTGTGAGTGCTCCAGAATTGTAACTAAAACTCTCAGAGAGAGCTGAAACAAAATCTCACCCTCCACACTTCAGTTCTGGCAAGTTCTTTTCCTCAAAAGTGAGAAATTCCAGCACATCTCATTGGAGAGACCTTCTGAGATCTCTTGTTTATAAGATGCTTGTTTATAAGAGAAGATGACACTCAGAGAAAAGTGGTGATCCCAGCAGGACAAGCCAGCAGGAAGTTAGAAATATGGTAGTTCACAGGCATCTGCATCCACAGTCCAGAAGGCAGTGTGCACCGCACTTAGAGGTGACTGTGCATCCTAGAGTTGAAGATCATGGAAATTTTGCCTCCTCTCAAATTCCGGTGATTGTACGGTCAGCGATTCACTTGTTGGGAATTAGAAAATCAGATTTAAAACCTGGGCTGTTGTAATGTCAATATGTTAATGAGAATTTCAGAAGTACATGCTCATGCTCATTATAAAATAAAATTTTATAGCAAGCTCTTCTATAGCAAGCTCAAGCTTATTTTAAAAAGATGACTATTTCAGTTCGTCTCTACCACCTTCTTGCTTTTATTCATATGCCTACTAATTTTTTAAATCTTTTATCAGAAGTATTTTAAATAATGTGTTTGATTTTTATTTTTTGTTCCATTGACTTCAGGTGTGTCACCTAACTACCCACACTGTGAGACGTGGGCTTGAGCATTTCTGTATGCTTGCATCTCTCCTCCCCAACCCCAGATCCTGCTGTTTATCTGCTCAACCACTGTTTGTAGATTGCCAAAGTTTATAACATTTACATCCTGAGTGGAGTCTTTAAGTCTCTTGTGTTTGTCTATATTGATTCTGGGAAGCAAGAAGAAATAAACATAACTTATAAGATTATGGCATTGCTTAATATTATTCACTTAGAACTCAACTGTGCCGATAAAAGAGAAGTAATCTGTGTTCTTTTAGCAGGGCTACTTGAAGTAAAATATTTCAAATTCTAAGTCAATACTTTTCTTTCTCCAGCTCCATAAATTTTTTATAACCATGCTTTACATTTCATCATGAACTTTTACATAGCATTTAATTTCTCCTGGAATTTCTAGTTTCCTTTGATTTTTGTTATTGACGCCAGAAACATGCACCTTCTTCATTATGGACTGACCAAGCCCCACAGTTACTTTAACCAGCTGTGTAGTGTCTGCCATCCTCCAGGCCTCCTGTTCCATGGTCTCTTCACAGAATAACAGCACTCACTTCCTTACAGCTTTACTTATAGCTCCTTTGTGTGCTGAATATTATTTTTATCTGTCCTGTCAATGTAATCTCATATGCCATTGATCTTCAAGAAAATATCCTCAATATGTGGCTTATTTATATCCTATACTGTTGTGTACCTTTACCATTATTTGAATGGGTGTTAGAGAGGGAGGTGGAAAAACAGTTTGCTAAAAAAAAAAAAAAAAAAAAAAAAAGAAAAAAAAAAGAAAAACAGTTTGCTATAAATTGGAGCCCTCCAAGTTCCTTGTATTTTGGGAAGATGTTGATATCAAAAATCTAAAGAAAATACACATGTGGACTGCCCCAGACTTTAGTTTAGGTAAAAATAATTTAAAGTTTATGTGAGTTGTTTTAAAGTTTTGATATTAGTATATTTTTGAGATATAACTGTTTTGAGTTGGAAGTATGCTTCCTGTGTATTTAATCCCATAATTTACTGAGAATTATGAAAGTACATGAAATTAATAGCATTTAAATATTGCACATTTTACACTGGCCTCATGCTGGTATCATTGTCCTAAGTACTGTGAAGGGAACCTTATTTCACCATCAAACGAGACAATGTCTACAATCTCAGTTGCCTTAAGACCAAATGCAGTTCCTATAAAGTCATAGGGCAATTCACATGCACCATGTGAGCTTCCTGGATTCACAGAATGAGGAGCTGAGTGAGAAGATGAAGTTTATGTTTGGGAGCAAGAAATCAAAGAAAGATGGCTTCAAGAGCTACTAGATTAGGAATATTCTATGTTCTTAGAAAAGCTTTCTTTCTAATGCAAAAATCCCATGTGGTCTTGAAAAAGCTGAAATGACTATTTATGAACCTTGGGCAGGGATTGCTCAGGGGACAGGGACAACAGAGGGAAGAGGAGGTTGGAAGTAAACACCCACCAGTGTTGTTGAAGTGACTCATTGTATC